GCTCATAAGATAATTCACCCTCACCCTCTGCGGCCCTGCGAGTTCCCTGCCCGTTGTTGTCCAGGGACGTTTCCCAGGGGGCCCACCCTGCTTACCTGTATGCGAGCGTAGGTGCCTTTTGAGGGCCGTGTGGCTGGGGAATGTGCGGTTGCACTCGCTGCAGATGTAGCTTCTCACGCCAGCGTGCACTTCCATGTGCTGCTGCAGGGCTGTCTGCGTTTGGAAGCGCTTCCCGCAGAGCAGGCAGAAGACGGCCATGTCCGAGCCTGGATGAAGAGGAGAAGGGAAGGTCACCTCCAGGAGAAATGCCGGGTGGGCAGAAGGTCTGCACCCCCCCCCCCAAACACCCCTGTCTCACTCCACTCCCTGTGTCTGGGACATGGGCCACATGCAGGGGTGGGATTCAAATTTTTTAACAACCGGTTCTGTGGGCGTGGCTTAGTTGGTGGGCGTGGGTTGGTGGTCATGTGACTGGGTGGACATGGCTTGGTGGTCATGTTATTGACTGGGTGTGGCCAACTCAATATCACTCACATCGAGGCATGCATCTCCTCGCCTGGCCTCTCATGACTGTGGGGATGCTGCAACAGTCGTAAGTGTGAAAAAGGGTCATAAGTCACTTTTTTCAGTGCCATTGTAACTTTGAATGGTCCCTCCACACAAGCAAAGTACCAGCAAAGGAGGGGAAAAAAACTCCAGAGAAGTTCCTGAGATAGGAAGTCTAGTCCTGCCAAGAATGTAATAAGGGTTGACGGAGAGGCAGTTTCTGTAAGCAACACCAGAATGTTTCCTTCCTGCCTTCCTTACAGGATTAGGCCAGTAATTTCTTCTAACAACCAGTTCTCCAAACTGCTTAGAATATTAACAACCGGTTCTAGTGAATAGGTGCGAACCGGTAGAATCCCACCCCTGGCCATGGCCAGGGAAAGGGAGACAGAGGCCAACCTGTCCCTCGGTCACGAATTCCTACCTGGGTTGAAGAGCAAAGCCAATCAGGAAGGCTTTGCAAATTAGCTTGCAATCATGACCTATCTATCATAATTTCTTCTAATTTGGACGATTTGGGGGAAAGGATAAGAATTATGCAGGGATCAGGCAGGTTTTCACAAATCTGTGCAGAGATTTTCTGTCATTCAAGAACCTCTTCTCTCCAGAGTTGGTCTCCACCCATCATGCAGAGACCATGGCCGGTTTCCCTCTTGGGAGAAATGAAATTATGCAAACTTGACTGAAGAGGACATTCAGCTTTCGGAGTTTTCATCTCTTTAGTTGTCTGTCTCCGTGTCCATCTGTCCATCCATATCTATCTATCTATCTATCTATCTATCTATCTATCTATCTATCTATCTATCTATCTATCTATCTATCTATCTGCCTACTACTTATTTTACAGCAGAGAACACAAGCAAGTTTTCACCAGGCAACTTCCTTGCCAGAAAACTATAATAGCGAAGGTTGTGACTTTTAATATATTGAATTCTATCAAAGGCAACAATCAAAGGAACTTATTAACTAAACATTCCCCCCTCTCTCTAATGAAACCTGATTATTATACTAGTTAGGGAGCAAATTAGAATAGAATAATATAAAATGAAACAGTAGGTAAATTAAAGAGAGAGACAGAAAATAAGACATGCGAGGATATTCATAGGGTAGATGTGTAATTTCACCATCTGAAATTGAGAAGAGATGCTTTCGCTAATGGGCTTCCCACATATCCACAGGCAAACCAGAGATTATTTTGAAAATGTATTTTTTTTAAAAAAAAACAAAACCATAACAATAACCACTGGTGGAAAAACTTCTGAACTCCAAAAGAATCAGGACTTTCTTCTCATGGCTCTCAAACCCTGAACTCCCAAATATTCTGAAAATTATCTTTCTAGGCTGGACGGGGAGGAGTGGCCCATCTCGGTCTCCCATGGTTTGGGGCAACCCAGGACATTTACTGGGTCTTCCTGAGCTCTAGGGGCAGCTTCAGAAGAGGCTTTTCCCTTGGAAGCAGGAAAGAAACACCAGCTCCGTTGGGAACATTTCCACAGCTGGGAAAAGACACGGATTGTGTCCCTCTGGACCTGTCTTCACAAGTGTGCGTCTCTCACTTGTGAAGACAGGTCACAGAAGGAAGCCTGCCTCTTCATTCTCGCTGCCAGCTCAGCACGACCTCCGACAGCTTCCACACCAATTGTGCTCGGGTGCCTGGACGTGTTCACTCACCAAAAGGATGAGGGTCAGTGGTGGGATTCAATTTTTTTACTACCGGTTCTGTGGGCATGCCTTGGTGGGTGTGGTGTGGCTTGGTGGGCATGGCAGAGGAAGGTCACTGCAAAATCCCCCTTCCCTCCCCACCCCACTAACCTGCCTTCCAGCTCCGTTCTCCTGTGCAGGGCAACCAAAGGAGGCCCAGCCGATCAGCTGGGACTCAATGGGAGGCAGAGAAGAGAGATGGGGTTGGCGGGGCCAGTCAGAGGTGGTTCTTTTGCTGGTTCTCCAAATTACTCCGGTCCGAACCGGCAGAAAACCACCTCCGGTGAGGGTCAACCTTTTGACTTCAGTCTCCCGCTTATGAACCCTTGAAAAAAACCCCAGCCACTTGACACAAGACTCTTCTCCGGCCAGTGTCCGCAGAGGTGACCGAGTTCTCCCCCCCGCATGTCAGTTTTGACACACGGCCAATACGGAACAACCGTAAGGCTCATTCCTGTCACTCGAGGCATCGTTCATTGCCTTGAAACCTATCAAACAGTAAAAGTCAGATCGCTCCGGCAAGAATGAAGCGAGCAAACGGCGGCTTTCTGAAAGGCCCTTTCGGAGCAAGGTGGAAAATAAAATGATCCAGAAAATTATACGAGCAAATCATTAGCAGCCGCACAACATGGCAAGGGATGGGGTGCGCTGCCTTGAAAGAATGAAAGGAGGGCGGGGGGAAAGGGAAGAGAAAATGAGAGGCAATTGGGACTTCATTTGCATGCCAGAAATGAACTGTCCATGATTAGCTTTGCAAGGAAACCGGGGGGGGGGGGGGGGGGGGGGAGCGATGCCAATCGCCTTCCTCACAAAGGCTAAATAGGCTTCCAGGTGGAACGCGGGTCACGCCAGGAAGGTGCCCAAAGGCAGAGCTGCTACGACTGAGTAACGTCCTTTTGGCCCAGAAAAGATTTCTCCCCCCCCCCCCCCACCTAAAAAAATTGGCAACATATTTCCAAACCAATTCCCGCGGCATCCGGTGAAAGGAAACCACGCGGGATGGGGAGAGCAGCTCTCCCTTCCAAGGTTTTGGCCACACCAAACCTTTCGGTGTTTCTACGCATCCATTTCTTGCTTGTGAGGTGGAGTTTGGTTTTTGAGAGAGGACACCATGGTGTGTGAAGCTACGTAGAATGATACAAATTAATGCAGATAATCAGAGTTGGAAGGGACCTTGGAGATCATCTAGTCCTACCCCCCCCTTGCTCAAGCAGGAGGCCCTAAACCATTCCTGACAGATGGCAGTCTAGTCTCTTCTTGACCTTTGCTTCCTTCTGATTGGGTAGATTCGGGAGGGAGGAAGGGCTGGGTTGGGTACCACAACCACGGCAGCTTCATTTGCAGCCAAGGAGGCGTAATCTCGGGGGGGAGGGGGGGCTTGTGAAGGCAACCCGAAGACCCCTCTCATGGTCAGCGGTGGGGTTTTCATTTCTCAGGCACTTCTAACTTGGTGAGGCGTAGATGGGAAATGTTACAACCGCCTTCGGTCCATTCGCAGCATCATATAAAACGAAGGGGATTGAACTCAGAATAACAGAGTTGGAAGGGACCTTGGAGATCTTCTAGTCCAACCCCCTGCTTGGGCAGGAAACCCTTGACCACTTCAGACAAATGGTTGTCCAGTCTCTTCTTAAGAACTTCCAGTGTTGGAGCATCCATAACTTCTGGAAGCAAATTGTTCCACTGGTTAATTGTTCTCACTGGTAGAAAATTCCTCCTTAGTTCTAAGTTCCTTCTCTCCTGGATCAGTTTCCATCCGTTGCTTCTTGTCCTGCCCTCAGATGCTTTGGAGAATAGCTTGACCCCTCTTCTTTGGGGCAGCCCCTCAAATATTGGAAGACTGCTATCGTGTCACCCCTAGTCCTTCTTTTCATTGAACTAGCCACACCCAGTTCCTGCAACCATTCTCCGTATGTTTTAGCCTCCAGTCCCCTAATCATCTTTGATGCTCTTCTCTGCACTATGTATGATGTATTTTTGTATGTATGTATGTATGTATGTATGTATGTATGTATGTATGTATGTATTTATTTATTTATTTATTTATTTATTTATTTATTTATTTATTTATTTAATATCCTGCCTTTATTATTTTTAGAAAAAGCACAAGGTGGCGAACATTGCTGGTACTCCTTCCTCCTCCTCCTCCTCCTCCTCCTCCTCCTCCTCCTCCTCCTCCTCACCTGTGAGGTGAGTTGGATCAAGAGAGAGATTGACTGGCCCAAAGTCACCTAGCTGGCTTTCATGCCTGAGGCGGGACTAGAACTCACTAGTCTCCTGGTTTCTAGCCCTGTACCTTAAAAAAAAAATGTACAAAGGACTTTAAGGTGCACTTGGTGTGCCAAAGGCCCCAACTGGGCTTCTAAGCCAGGCCAACTTGAGACCCCTGGGGGAGCCTGAAGACATCCCAGGCCTGCAAAAGCCACAGGGGTTCAGAAATCAGGGACCCTGGGATGTGGGGGGGGAGGGGGCTGCTCCTTCTCTTCTGGGTCTTTGCACAGAGCCGCTTATGAAGCCGCACACACCGGAGGCTGCCGGCAGAGCTTTTGGCAAGAGCCGCTCGGGGATAACGACTTCCTGATGCCGATAAAAGCCCAGATCCTTCCTCTTGTTCTGACACAGCCATGCGCCTCGGGAGCCGATCCAACCCGAGCGCCAGCAAAGCAGCCCCTCTCTGCTCACACCTGCACTGGCTTCCCCCCCAATTGGAGCCCAGAGGGGGAGGGGCCCTGCTGGAGCCGGTCCCAGGTGCGCACACCTTCCCGGCGCAAAGCCCTCATTATCTTGCGTGGCAAACGCCAACTTCCTCGCGGAGAAGGGCCTTTAAATAGACCCCGGCTTCCTGAGGGTGGCAATTTGTTAAGCGGCAGGCAGGCGAGTGCCAGGGATTTCGGGGGTGGGTGGTGGGTGGGGCAGGGGAGAGAGGACAAATGTGAGGCCACAGAGCTCTGCTTGTCACCCAAATGTAGGCAGCAGCCTCTGCGTCCCCCAGCTTCTCCAAGGCAAGGAGACGGACAAG